TTTAGTTAATTATGGCTCCTCTTATGACTGGCTTTGAGCCTTGAAGAGCTTGAGATTCCACTTGGTCTGTGAAACTGCATCTAGACTGAATCCTGGTATATTTTTTTAAGATTTTATTTATTTATTTGACAGAGAGAGAAAGAGAGTGAGATCAGGAACACAAGCAGGGGCAGAGGGAGAGGGAGAAGGAGATTCCCAGCTGAGTAGGGAGACTGACACAGGGGTCGATCCCAGGACCCTGGGATCATGACCTGAGCCGAAGGCAGACGCTCAACCGACTGAGCCACCCAGACGTCCCTAGACTGAATCCTGTTTAAACCTTTCCCTTTTGGGGTCTGACTCTCAGATGGTGAGAAACTTCATCTGCTTCCTTCCTCAACCTCCTTGTAAGTTTTACAAATACCTCTGTGATAATACAAACTGGCAGATTCTCTCACAATGGTTTTCCTTCAAGAGGGCATGACTGTTGGGATTGGCACAGAGATTTGAATTTAAGGTAGTGACACCAATCATTTGGATAAAGTTGAAAAACTTACTCCAGTAACGATACTGCTATTGCCTGTCACTGTCACCATGTTAATGGCCTTGGGATTGGTCACCTATTCCTACCACACAACAGTGCATTCTTCACACAGTTCCAGTGTGTTTTAAAATGCAAATCTGACAAGTGCCATTCTCCTCCTTAGAGATTTTCAAAGGCTGCTGTACCAGTCAGCATTCTGGTAGGAAATGGTGAGCTCACTCATATGGTAAGCAGGGAAGTTCAATACAGGGATTATACAAAAGTGTGGGCAGGAGTAAGGAAAACCAACAAGGAATGGGCTAGCAACAGTGGGAGCCATCACCACCTGGAGTTTGAAGGGTAAACATGAGGGAGTGGCTGTAACTCAGACATTCTCAATAGGGTGATATCACTCCCAAGGGGGAAAAATCGGTTGGGGGGTTGTGAAAAAAAATGTTCTCTCTGTATGTACAGAGCACATGTATGTGTAGAGCGCACAAACACACACATACAATACATAAACACATCTCACTGGGGAGTGGTTAGGAAAACAAAATGTCTTAAAGAGTTCTGTAGGGAGGTGATAATGGAAAGAAGATTGAGAAACGCTGCTGAAGCTGCAGGATTGTGCCATCTCACAAAATCTATGACCTCACTCCTTGTCTGTCCTCCGATAATCTGCACACACTGTCTGTGGGCAGAACCCAGCTAGAAGCCAGAGCCCAAGGGACTTGTTGATGTAGACCAGCAGGTCTGCCTCCTGGTGCCCAGAGCAGGGTGAGGAAGGTAGAGGGGGCGTTTGGAGGGGCAGATGGAGAAGAGCCAACGGCACCATCAAGAGCTATTAGAACAAAGAGCCAGAGACTTATTTTGGCTCATGAGGGTCTGGGCATCTGGTCTCCCGCCCTGCTCTCCCCTCATGCCCCTTTCACCTGACGCTACCAGTTTCCCAAATATTGAGCTAGCTACTGACTCAGGTCCTGTGCCCTTGAACATGCTGTCCCTTTGATATGGTACATGTTTTCTTCCCTCCTCATCCTTCCACTCCCAGCTTAAATGCAACTTTCTCAGGGGCCCTCCTTGACCCCCTGGCAGAAATCCATTTTCCCCATTATAGTTTCTCCAAGAAGCACTCAGGGCTTCTTCTTTATAGCACTAATTATAATTGTAATTTAAATGCTTATTTGTGTAATCATTTGCTTAACTTCTGTCTCTCCCACCAGACAAAATGTTTTATGAGGTGAGAACTTAGCACATAGTGAGAGCTCAGTCAATATTTGATGAATAGATATGGGCCAGCAGGAAATAAGTACACCAAAGGCACAGAAGCTTCCTGAAGCCACTGTCTGTGTTAGAACATAGCTTTAACCACTTATTAGTTGGGTGATCGTAAGCAAGTTGCTTCACCTCTCTTTCTCCCAAACTTTGCTCATCTATGAAATGAGGATAATAATAGTAGCTATTTCATAGGGCCGGGGAGAGAACAAATAAGTTAGTACATGTGAAGTGCTCATGAGAATTGCTCAATAAATGATATCATCATCATCATCATCATCATCAAAACTTCATTGTGCAATTCTATTGTTGACTGGCTGTTTGGCGGTGATATTTGCACTAGTCAGAGTGGGAGAAAAGCGTATGTTACCCTGAAGTAGTACTGACTCTTACCATATCATTTTTGGAACTAAGAACCCAGTTGTCTTGAAACCGGATCCTAAAAACCGTTTTGTTTTTCATTCGTCATATAGTTAGCATCTGGGGAAGAGTTATTTGACAACAAATCAAATTCACCCTGTAAAAAGCAAATATTCATCTTTTTGCTATTCAGATGGTACGGGAAGGCTTGTGCTGCATTGCAAGTCCTTGCTTTGTGGGTTCTTTCCCAAGACTTTGCTCCTGACTCAACACCAAACAAATTAGGGACAAAGGCGGAGAGAGGATAGTAAGTGGCATCAGGATCGCTCTGAGTTCCCAGGGGCATGGTCTTGGGGCGGTCAGAATTGCTTCCTGAGAGGTCACTGGGAGATGCAGGAGACACCTGAGGAGCTACTAATCCCACTGAGTGTGGGCACAGATGAAGGACCAGGAGAAGCATGCAAGGCAGCAGGAGGGATACCACCAGACGGGAGCTCTGCCGGCATCTGTGAGACCCATCCGATAAGTTCTTCTGGATGGAGCATCTCCTGTGTGGGAACAATTCAATGAGATTGGGCATACAACACTGACTTTTGCATGCAGCCTTTTAAGGATTTCTTTCTGATGCTAGCCACAGGAGTCTTGCGCTAGTCAGAACCTTTCCACTCTGTCCTTTAAAAGTGGGAGAAAGTGAGGTCCAAAGAGGTCAAGTGACTGACCTCAAGCCATGCAGCTATGACAAAATCGGTTTGTGATCTCGAGTCTCCCTGACTCCACGTTATTGCCTTCCATGACTTTCCTTTCAATTCAGCTCTTACCTCCTCTTGTTGCCCTCTATTCAGACTGTAAAAGTTAAAATTCATTCCCATGAAGTCTTGCAAGCAAATCAACTCCATTCTTTGAGCCACACCACCTGAATGGGCATCACGACAATCACACACACACACACACACACACACACACACACACACACACACTACCTGCTAGCCCAGCTCCGTTTCTGGAACCTGAGCAATGTCAGCACCATGTGTCCTTGATTTTTCCGAGTGAACCGTGCATTTGACATGGGTGGGGGCATGCATGGCCGAGCAATCACTGTCACAAAGGGAAGAATTTATGTTTGCATCTGTGTCTCACCTCTTTTCACATCTGGTCTTGGTGGGCCTTTGGGAATTTGCTGGGGAAGGGGAAGGAGAACAGTGAGGAGGGCTCTCCGTACCTCGGGGGCCAGGGCTGAATAAAGATGAGATCGCCACTCTCCCACCTCAAGAAAAGCAGTGGCTTGATGTCCTTGGTCTGAATGGTTCTCTTGTCAGATATTAAGGGCCTTAGAAGCATCTCATAAGGTCAGTTTCATGGTTCACTGAGCCAGGATTTTTTTTCTCAATGAGGGTCACCAAGGAGAAGGAGTGTATCGTATCTTTAGGGATATGTCTCAAATAGGTCTGGTTTCCCTTATTAACCAGGGGTAGATTTATTACTCACGAATCCATCTAGACCATTTTGAAATAGTACATTTCTGTATCATCTTTGAGGTAAGATCCCATTTGTTTAGCTCATGTTGATAAAGTAGGTCTTTCTTTCCCCTGTGACGCGGGTACAGAACTCAGGGGGTGAGTAGCAAAGACCTTCTAGATATTCTAAAGACCCATTTAATCTCTCCTCAGCCTTTATTCTCAGAGTTAAAAGGTCTGTGTTCTTTGATCAGACTTCATATGATAGTTTCTCAATCCCATTGCTTATCATACTTGCCTCCCACTTGGACCCCACCTCCTTTGGATGCCAAGGACAGAACCATATGCAATATTCTCAGTCTAGATATACCACGGGCTAGGCTTAAGAAAAGGGGAAAGTCTTCCCTTTGGTCTATTTTGACCTTCATGGAAATGCTGCACATTTGGAAAATGTGGTTATTGTTGATAGGATACGTCGCCTCTCTTTGCTATAAGGGTGTAGTAGCTTGATGATATCAAGGGGTTCATTTTATCTACACGGATTATTCCCTAAATGCAGATGGGTTCAGAGTACATCACCTTCCAAACAGTATCCCTTCCACACTGATGTCGGCTGGACAGCTGCCTGCTCAGCTTCCCGGCACTGTGGGGCCATGCTCTGGTGACCACACAACCTTGTCTGATCAGTCCACTTGCTCGGCACTATTGATTTAGTTCAGTGCATGAGAGCTTGGTGTGGAGGGCACCCCACCGGCTGGGGTGAAAGACAGGCTTGCTGGCAGGCACCATCCTTTTTACAAGCATGACCCACAGGGTGTCTTGCAACAGTGTATTCCAGGCTTTTTTGTCTGCAATGCCCAGAGATGAATATCTTTTACATTGCAAATCAGTTTATGCACACGAGCACACCCATACACACACACACACATCTGAAACCAAAATTTCACAAAATAATGCTCTTATTAAGTGATTTAACAATTAAATTTAAAAATAAATTTAAAAATAAAATATGGTAGAAAACCATTCCCAAACAAACAATATTCTTAAAAGATGCTGGGTGTTTACTATTAAATTGATCTCTGACACAAACTACTGAGCTGAGGCTAGCAGATTGAAACACAATAGGTTAGTAGAACTTTTATGTGAAGGACCCAGACTTTCTCTTCATTCTTTTCCTTTTAAAATTTCTTTTCCTCCCTTCCTCCCTCCCTCCCCTTCTTTCTTCCTAGCTCTGTTTCCTTTTTGAGAAATGCTTTCGCGAAGACATCATAGTACAAAGTTAGCAACATGCCAATCTGATCGTCACTGGAAGATCTGAAATTCATTCCATTTCCCAGCCTATGACTCATATCCTGGGTCATAGGCTGTTAAGTATCCTCAGTGTTACTGGTTGTTGCCAAATTATGCCCCAGAAAGGTTACACCAATTTACCTCCCCAGCAGCAGCGTATGTGGCTTCCCAAGTCTCCACATGCTTGGTAACACAGGTATTGTGAAACTTTAAACATTTTTACTAATCTGATGTGAAGTTGTTCAGATCATTTGCATAATTATTAGTGAAATCGAACACTTATCTGGCAAATGTAGATCAATCAGATTTTCTTGTATGTGAAATGACTATTCATACTTCTGGTCTATTTTTCTATTAGGTAGTGTTTTATTATTATTTTGTAGCATTTTTATATATTCGATGCACCAAGCATCTCTATACTAAACATTTGCTAGTTAAATGAATAGCAAATATTTTTCCCTGTAGCTGAAGGTATAGGAATTGCAATTAATTTTTTCCCAGTTGTCCCCAACCATACATTAAAAAGTCCCTCCATGTCTCTCTGATTTGCTAGGGCATTTCTATCACTTTACAAAGTTTTTATATATGCACGGGTCTCTAAGATTTGTACTCTCGTCTGTTGTCCTATTTCTTCATCTTTGAACAAATATCATACTGTTTTAATTGCTATACTTTCATAATAGGTTAAAAATCTGGAAGGGTAGGGGCGCATGGGTGGCTTAGTTGGGTAAGTGTCTGCTTTCAGCTCAGGTCATGATCCCAGGGTCCCTCTGCCCCTCCCCCCGCTTGTGCTCGCGCTCTCTCTCTCTCTCTAAAATAAAAAAATAAAATCTTCAAACAAACGTGGAAGGGCAAATGTTCTGTCATCCTTCAGGTTTACTTGGCAACTCGTGGCTCTTAATTTCTCTATCTGGGTTTTAGCATATTTATTTAAACTCCATAAAAATTCTTGTTGGTATTTGAATGGAATTATGTCGTGTTTATTGACTAATCTGGGTAGGTCTGCCATCTGTCGAAACTTCTCAAACTGTTTAATAAGGTTTACATCTCTATTCAGATGATCTTTTATTTTCTTAATATTTTGTCATTTTTCTCCATTAAACTTATTGAAAATATCTTGTTAAATTTAGTCCTAAATAACTTAAAGTTTTGTTAACATAATCTTTTCCCATAATATTTTCTAATTGATTATTTTTGATGTATAAGAATACTATTGATTTAGTCAGTCTAGAAATCTTTATGAGCCCTCTTTCTACTTCAGAACTTTGGGTTTTCTAACTAGACACCTGCATTATAATATAAGGATGACTTTATTGTTTTCAAATTTTTGTAGTGTTTGATTATTACAAAAAAAGCTGTTATGATTACTCCCATATAAATATTTATCTGGAGAGAGCTTTTATTTTTCCTAAGTAAAGAGTGGAATGACTGGGTCATATGGTATGTTAAACTTTTTAAGAAACTTTTCAAAGGGCTGTATGATTTTCCATCCATTCCCACTAGCAATGTAGGAATGTTCCATTTGCTCAAAACCCTTGTACACTTGCTATGGTCAGCCTTTTTAATTTTAGACATTCTGATCAGTGTGTAGAAATACTTATTGTTGTTTTAAATTGCATTTCCCCAATGCCTTATGAGGTTGTGTACATTTCCATGTACTTATTTGTCATCTGAACATTTTATTTGGTACAGGGTCTGTTCCCATCTTTTGCCCAGTTTTTAAAATTGGGTTGTCTGTCTTATAATTAACTTGTAAAAGTTTCTTATATATTCAGGATTAAAGTCCTTTGTTAGGTAGATGTTTAGCAACTATTTTATCACAGACGGTGGCTTGTCTTTAATTTCTTTAACAGTGTCTTTTGGAGAGAAGATATTTCTAATTTGATGAAATCCTATGGGTTGATTTCATTCTTTTATAGTTCATATTTTTAGTGTTGTGTTAAGAAGTTTTTCTCAAAGCCAAGGTTATTAGGATTTTCTCCTGTTTTCTGTTTTATTTTTATAATTTTAGCTTTTATATTTAGGTTTATCCATTTTGGGTTAATTTTGGCATCTGGTAAGAGTTGAAGTTTTGTTTTATTTTGTTTTGTTTGAATGTGTTTATCCAATTGCTCCAGCACCATTTGCTGTAAAGATTTTCCTTTTCCCCATTAGATTTCCTTGGCACTTTTGTTGAAAGTCAGTTCCATAAATGTGAGATCTACTTCTGAACTCTCAAGTCTGTTCCATCGATCTACATGCCTATCTTTTTGTCAAAACCACACTATCTTGATTACTGCAGTTTTATAATAAATCCTGAAACCATTAGTTCAATCCCCTGACTTTTTTCTTTTTAAATGTTGTTTTGGCTATTTTAGGTCATTTGCATTTTTTTAAGAGAGAGAGAGAGAGAAAGTGCATGCAAGCATGGGGGAGGGGAAGAGGGAAATGGAAAGAGAGAATCTTAAGCAGACTCCAGGCCCAGAGTGGAGCCCAACACAGGGCTTGATCTCAAGACCCTGAGATCACGACCTGAGCCATAATCAAGAGTGAGACGCTTAACAGACTGAGCCACCCAGGCGCCCCAGTCATTTGCATTTCCATATAAATTTTAGAATCAGCTTGCCTATTTCTGTAAAGAATAAGCTTGCTGGGATTTTGATTGGGATTATAATTAATATCTAGATCATAGCAGCCTTTGCTGTAATAGCCCCAAACTGGAAACAACCCAAATGTCTTTCAAAAGGTAAACAAATAAGCAAATTGTGATATATCCATATGATGGAACACTACTCAACAATAAAAAGAAATGAACTTTTGATACATGCAAACACATGGATGAATCTCAAAACCATTATGCTGAATGAAAGACCAAAAAAAAAATGTATGGGGTATACTTCCATTTATATAAAATTCTAGAAACTGCAACCTAATCTGTAGAGAGTAGTAGAAAGCACACCAGTGTTCCATGGTGCTGGGGACTGGGGCTGGGAGGGGAAAAGGAAGGGATTACAAAGATATGGGGACATTTGGAGGTGTTCTGGATAGGTTCATTATTTTTATTGTAATGAGGGCTTCATGAATGCCTATATATGTCAAAAGTTAGCAAATTGTATACTTATTGTGCAGTTTATTATAGATCACTTATACTTTAATAAATCTATAAAAAATATCTTATAACAATTAATTTAAAAAAATCCTTTTCCCTATCAACAACACTGTGTAATCTATGGATGATGGTGGGCATCTTGGTGTTGCTCCTGACATATAATGGATTGCTGCTCTGTTGGTTCATAGGGATCGCCCTTCTCCTCTCCTCCCCTGTCTCTTTGTCCTGTCCTTTCTTTTCCCTCCTTTCTTCCTCCCTTCTTTTCTTCTTTCCTTCCCTCCCTCCCTCCTTCTTTTCCTTTCCTCCTTCCTTCCTTCTTCTCTTTTCCCCCATAGGTTTGTGACAAAGTCTATCAAATTAAAGAGTTTCCTAAATCTCTAATTTTTTTTTCCTAAGCACATGTGAAAGTTGAAGTTTCCAACTGTTTTTTTTACATTTAAAGAATTAACATACATTATTATTCTTACTTTGTTAATGTAAAAGATTATATGCATATATATGAATATATATACACCCACACCCACACACACACACATATATATAAATGTCCAAATTGCTTGCATTTTTTTGGATAAATCTTATTTAGGCTTGAGACATTTTTATTCTTGAAACGATAGATTTGATACACTACAGTTCATTTAGGGTGTTTTTTGTTGTTTTGTTTCTTTTTTACATGAATATTCCCAAGCGAGATTGACCAATAATATTTCCTTGCCTTTGTTTTTCTAGTTTTGATGTCAAGTTTGGACTCATAAAATGTGTTCAGACACTTCCCTACTTTTATATTTTTTGAAGCAACTTATATAATATAAGATATAATATATCTTTTCTCTGAAGGTTCACAAAACCTCATCTAAAAATCATCTATTGATGGGACTTTTGGATGGTGCAGTCATTTAAGCATCCAACTCTTTTTTTTGGCTCAGGTCCTGATCTCAGGGTTGTGAGATTAAGCCCTGCGTTGGGCTCTGTGCTCTGTAAGGTGTCTGCTTGTCCCTCTCCCTGCTCCTCCCCCTGGCTCGTGCACACTCTCTCTCTAAAATAAATAAATTGTTTAAAAAATCATCTATTGTTGCTTTAGGGGTAAGGTATATGTATGCATATTTACAGATTCAATGACTTTAATAATTATGAACCTTCTAAGTGTTCTATTTCTTCCTTTAATTGTTTAAAAGACTTTAATTTTTAGAGCCATTTTAGGTTCACAGCAAAATTTAGTGGAAAGTCCAGAGATTTCTGATATGTGTCTGGCCCCCACACATGCATAACTTCCCCCATTATCAACATCTGCCACAGAGTGGTGTATTTGTTACAATTGAGAGACCTGCATTGTCACATCATAGTCACCTGAACACCATAGTTGGTGTTACAAGGTCACTCTTGGTGGTGTACGTTCTGTGGGTTTGGACAGATGTATAATGCCATGTATCCATCACTGTGGTATCATACAGAGTATTTTCACTTTCTAAAATTCCTCTGTGCTCTGCCTCTTCATCCCTCTCTGTCTTAACCCCTGGCAACCACCAAACTTTTTACTGTCTCCATAGTTCTGCCTTTTCCAGAATGTCATTTGGTTGGAATCATAGAGTACGTAGCCTCCTCAGGCTGGCTTCTTTCAGTTAGTTATATGCATTTAAGTTTCCTCCATGTCTTTTTATGGCTTGATAGCTCATTTCTTTTCAGTGTTGAATAATATTCCGTTGATTGGATGTACCACAGTATTTATCCCTCTTAGTCAATTTTTGTAGTTTGTATTCCAGAAATTTTACCATTCTAAACTTTTTAAATTTATTTTTTAAAAGATATTCATAGTGTATATTTTTCTATGTCTATGCATTATATATGTATACAGAGAAAGAAAATCTCTATTGTATCTGTGGTTTTGCCTTACTTGTAATCGCTAATACCATTTTCTTGTGTTTTCTACTATTTGCTTGGCTAGGCTTGCTTAAGTTTTCTCATTTAAAAGAACCAGATTTTGGGGTACTTAGATGGCTCAGTTGGTTAAGTGTCTGACTCTTGGTTTTGGCTCAGTTCATGATCTCAGGGTTGTGAAATCAAGCCCCGCATTTGGCTCCATGCTCAGCGGGGAGTCTGCCTGAGATTCT